GGAACACCCTAGTCTAATTCTTCCAAACCAATACACTTGTACCTCTAATTATACTCACTTGAAAAAATATTTCTCACCTTGTTCTCAAACTACCAACAAGCAAAAAACTTAATGTCTACAGTGTCTCCAGATGTGATTTTCAGAAGAGAGCCTTGTGTTCTCTTCTCCATAGTCAGCATTCAAACTAACTGGAACAAAAGCACAGCTGTCTGGCCGAGGTCCCACCCCAAAACAGACATTTTTCTGGTGAGCCTACAGCTCTACCTCTTTTGGCCCTTAGGGAGAGTTTTTAAAGAAACCAAAACGGTATTTAAGTTGCATAATTAAAATGCACAAACCAAAACCTGTGCTTCTCACACTCCAGAAGGCAGTCTGGTAGGCTCCCATCAGATGCAGCCCCAAGAGAGCCATCCTGTGCCAGGAAAGGGGACCCGGGGAGTGCGGATTGGATCATACCACTCTCTCCCTAGGTCCCAATGCCCAGCCTGTGCCCTGTGTAACTGGTTCCACTTCCAAGAGAGTTCTGAAATTCACGCCCACGTTCCTCCACCCCATCCCAGTCTCCCCTCTCCTGCACAACTGCAACAGCACCCTGCCTGGGGAGACACTTCCAACCTTTCTCTCCCTGCACATTCCCCAAGGGGTGAGGGGGGTCTTTCCCTGTAAACTGGATATGCCACACCCCTGCTTAAAACACTTTTGGGGGCTTCCGGCTGCATTCAGAATACCACCCCCTCCTAAGGCCCAGTACAGGGCCAGCAAGGACCTGGCTTAGTCTCCCCTCCCAGCACCTGAGCTCCCCACGGCAAACCAGCAGATTCATTTCTCCTCGATGCAGCACACCACCTCCCACCTCAGGAACTCAGCTCCCCGGGGCTCACAGGGCCTGACGGTTCCTCCCCAGCTCTTTGCCCAATTGGCCTCTGTCCATTTTCCAGGTCCAGCTTAAAATCATTTCCCTGGGGGACCTCGCCCCCCGTCTGAAGTACCCACTGTCCCTGTGCCCGCGGTCCTTGTTCTTTGGCTTCAAAGCATTTATTACAGTGTGTAATTATACATTCATTCGACTCTGGGCCGACAGGCTCTCTCTGGCCTTGACAGCCAGTTTGTTTTGCTCATCTTGGTGTCCCGGTGTCTAGCAAGCACCTAACCCGCAGAAGAGTACAAGATAGGTTTGCTGAACACATGAATGAAGAGATACCAGGCCTGTCCGATGGACTGGTGTCATCCAACCTTAAGTCCCCAGAGAAGAGCGACTGCATTTTGCTTGATCTAGCGACCACACTGAAATAGTAGTTCCTGGCACATCATGAGGTGAGGACAAAGATCCAAATTCAAAAATCTGAATTTAGCCCTCTCCTATTTACTCATCTTAGCTTTATGGAGAATATGACAGAGTTAAGATCTGCTCAAAGAGAACTTGCTATAGGTATATACCTAAAGCACCTGGAGAACCATGTAGAGTATTCATTTAATGTGTTCATTTAATTTAATCATTTAAATGTGTTCAATTATCAGAATGATGGAGAAGCCATAAGTAACCTCATGAACCACCCCTGAGAGTTGGTGCAGATGAAGACTTCATAAGGAAAAAGGTAGGAACTGGACCTTCAAGGAATTACGGTTGGCAGGGCGGAAGGAGGAGCATCACATTCAGGGTCAGAAACACAGATGTGCGAAGGAGGAGGTAAAGACGAAGCCTTCTGAGGAGAAGACACCAGAGCTCTGGACCCCGCCTTTCAAGATCAGAGTCAGGTCAAGAGAGGAGTTTCATAAGGAAGACCATCAAGAGTTTGGTTTTGATATGTAACTCTATCATGAGTAAATAGCAACAGAATATCTTTGGGCTTTCATAGCACAAAGTTGAAACACTCAAATGTACCACAATTTTCTTGGCCAAGAATAGTTCTTATCTTTTAACTCAAAGAGGAAAACGCCAATGTTCCAATTAAAGGTATAAGAGCTCAAGAAAGGAAAATGAACAACCCTGGGGAGAAATGCATGGAGGAGAATGAGCCATAGGCAGCGGGGTAAAGGAGCTCCAAAAATGGGATTGAGAAAAGGGCACATGGACGAACGCCAATCAGAGGACACCACGTGAGGACAGACTGTGCACAGGTCCCCCTCCCCAAAACAGGGCAGCACCCAACTCCTTTACAAGGTAGCTTCAGCCTCCGCAAACAGATAATAGTTCGCTAAATAATTTCCAGTTCGCACATACATTAACTCATGTCTAGGAAACACGGTTGTCTCTTTCTGGTTTATGAATACTCTGGGAATATAGGAGAGAAACATCTGTCTCTTCCTCCAAGTCAGTATGAATTGCATCTTCTCTCCCAGGCACGTTTGCCTCTGGAACATTGCTTCGGGGAGCATACAAGTCAGCAATATCCCATTCTATTTTGAGCTCAGGGAGGAGCGCAAGTAATACAAGTAGGAACAGGGAAAAGGAAAATAAACGAAATGTCTGCTGCGGTGTATTTAGGTGTACTTGGTGCTGCATTTTAAATTAACTTGTAATTAGGCTACAACACCCCATTCTGAAGGAATTCACCTGAAGGAGTAAAGAGGCACCAGCACTTACAGTATACACATAGCTAGAGGTCTTGCTGCGGGCCGTGTACCTACACGCTTCTTTACTAAGGCAATTTTAACCAAAGTATAATGAAACAGAAATAAACAATTGTTTATTTGACATAGAAGATGAGGTGGCACAACTATTCTATGGCTTATATAGAAATTAATTATTTGAAGCCATAATTATCCAGTGCTTTAAGCAAAACATGTGATTTTTCATTTTTTTAAAGATTTTATTTACTTATTTATTTGAGAGAGAGAGAGCAAGCCCGAGTGGGGGGAGGAATAGAGGGAGAAGCCGACTCCCCACTCATCAGGGAGCCGGAGGTGGGGCTCCATCCTGGGACTCCGGGATCATTAACAGAGCCAAAGGCAGACCCTTAACTGACTGAGCCACCCAGGCACCTCAAACATGTGCTTTTTCTTAAATGAAGCAGACCACCAAGATCTTAGGAATTCCTTACTCATAGTCCCCATCACCTTGAGCCATAAAGACCTCATATGGGTGAAGAGATGTCTACTGACTGCACCATACAAAGAAGTATCTTTCCAGGTAAGGTATTAATACTTGCCGCTTGGGCTTATTTTCTTCTTTGCAGTTCTTATTTCATTCTTTATTTTAATAATGATTTATGTAAACCTCAGAAAGTCTCTCAGCTTGGGCAGAAATCTCCAGCTGAATCTCAGGTGTGCAGAGAACTGTGCTTCCTTCGCTGGCCACTGCCATCTGCACCACCTGTCTGCCGGGGGCTAATGCTGGGGAAAGGGCTCCAGAACATAAAAGGAGCTGCACAAAGGAAAGGGGTCAATGTCATGGTCATCAGGAGCTATCTAGCTTCACTAATTAAAATGTTTAATCAAAACAAAATGTTGAATCGTCATACAACTTGCCTAACTTGCCAGAAAAGCCAAACGCCACCGGAAAAGAATGAGTTTGATGTGAGGGAAAATGAGGTTAATGGAACAAGTTCAAGCCAAATGCTCTAAGATGTCACCAGCGTTCCACAGAAACAGGGCAGCTGAGCGGAGGCTTCACAGCAGAGCATTGCAGCCACGGCCCATTGTCAGGAAGGAGCAGGAGTCTGGGAATCCAGGGTTTCCAACATAAAATTACAGCCTAGTGCTCTAGAGTCCAACCACTAAGGACAACGCGCTTGGATAACATTAATCTGTTGAGAGCGTAAAACAACAGCAGGAACACAAAGCCTCTGAAGGAGGACGGGAGGGAAGGTGATGTGGACCCCAGGGAACAAGTTAGGCTGGGGCTGTGTGTGTTTGTGTGCATTTCTGTATCGTGTAAGTAACCCAGGCCAGAGTTCCCCATCTCCAAGTGAAATTCCCCGTCAAGCCAAGAGAAACAAACAAAATAATCCCTGCTATGTGTTCTCAGAGCCTAAAGTAATGAACCAAAACCGGTTAAAAGGAAATCAAATTTGTTCTGGGAAGTGACAGCCCCTCTGACTTTGAGAGCACCGCCAACAATGACTTCAGGCAGAAGAGAGATCAAACCATCGGTTTCCCCTCTGGAATGCCCTTCTGGAATTATCTGGAACCAGATAAGACCTTTGAGAACAACGGCCAACTGTTCAGGGGTTCAACTTTTCTGAAGGCGGGCACTCCAGGCCTCTGAGTCCCAGCACCTCAGTAAAGGCTGACACTTGGGCAAAGTCCCCCATTATGCTCTCGGGGCAACCCAGGACAGTTTCCCAAGACAGTCGGCAGCAGGGAGCTCTCCGAGGGGACCCACTGCAGAACATCTTTACCAAAGAAATTGTGAAGGGGAAATCTGGCCGTCAGCTGGGATACAGGTCTTAGATAAAGGTGACTTATGGGGAACCAGCATAAAGGGAATTTAACATGACCCAGAACAGGAGACAAAGAAGGGAGCCACCACCTTCCACTAGCTGGCTGATCAGAAATGAGAAAAATTGACTGTCCACCTAATTCCCAATTTCAGGTCTTGTGGGATGGAGACTCATTTTTTTTGATGACCACCAGGTGAAAGAAATTACTAAAAGGTCCCTTTATTTTGTTTGCCTAGAGTCATTCTGTTTAACACATGATTTAGTTTTCTACACCTTATCACTGTCTGTTTTATTTCTCCTCCCCCTCAACATTACTAACACAAAATGCTATCAAACACACAACTTTTTAACTATAATGGCTTCTTTTGCAACACAGTTACTTCATTTTGGTTCATAAAACATAGAAGTGACAGGTTAAAGCACAGAACTGTGGAAATTCAGAATCGGGAGGCATGATATAGGTCAGGACTAACAAGTGCAGACTGTAAGTTTTATATCCGTGGCATCAGACAGAGTCACACAGAGCGAAAGCTCCAGGTAGCATCCTGTGATTTTATCCTTTGACTCTCAGAAGCATACAAATGTAAGCAAAGCCGAGAACGCAGTTCAGGTACTTACTGATTCCTTGAAAGAGCTCTTCGATATTAATAGCATTTTTTGCACTTGTTTCAACCACAACAGCACCTATGGATTCGGCATATTCCTTAGCATCCTTCAAGGGAACTTCCCTGGAAAAGAGGTCACATGCAGACAGAAATGAATGCTCATTTGTACAATATAAATAACCCAACAGACCAAACAGAAAGCTCATGTGGAAACAGCTCCTTTATCTAAGTTCTGTAGAATAACCACTCAATCGATGAGCAAATACTGAAAACTAGTATGGGTGAAAATGTTTAAAGTTTAAAATCTGGTCTTTGGCATCCATGGAGGTAAGACCCCCCCCCCGCATATGTAAAATGCTGTGCCTGGTCCCACAAAAGGAAAGAATTCCAGAACATTAGAAAAACTCATTAGGAAGATGGCCACATATATTTCAGCTTTCAGAGTTAGGGTTGATTTCAATTCTTTTCCCATAAAAAAATGACTCTGTTTTTTTAAATTGGGTGTATGTGCACGTACACACGTGTGCACAGTTCTGCACACACACATGCTCTTGTAGAACTTTTTACATATTGTCTTTCACACATCAGAGAGAATATGTCACAGGATGTGAACGTTTGGAAGTGAACATGGTTATAGCTACGATGGCTGTGATGCAATAGGACAGAACTGGACTTTCCCCCGTAAAAGGCTCTTCCTGCAAAGATGTTAGGACATGAACTCTATTTAAATGAATAATCTAGAAAGACATTTATTGACCTATTTTTAATGTGAAGATGCTGTGATGGATCTGAAGATTAAAAAGACACAGTTCCTGTTCCCCAGAAGTTTAGTCATTTATTCAACAAATATTTACTGAGTGGCTATTATACACCAGGCTCTCTTATAGGTGCTAGAGAAAACAGTAATCCCTGCCTTCTGGAACCTCCACTTGAGAGCAAAGACAAACACCCATGGTCACTCTAACCCACAACATTGTAACATCTGCAATATGTGGATAATAAAGGTACAGTAAAGCACTTCAGAATGAGAGGAAGTACAGAAGTACCAAAAGTACAGAAGTACAGGAAGTGTACATAAGTATAGTAAGTATACAGAAGTAGAGGTCGTGTACAAAAGTACAGGAAGTGTACAGAGTACAGGAAGTGTACAAAAGTACAAGTAGTATACAAAAGTACAGGAAGTGTACAGAAGTATAGTAAGTATACAGCAGTAGAGGTCGTGTACAGAAGTACAGGAAGTGTACAAAAGTACAGGAAGTGTACAGAGTACAGGAAGTATACAGAAGTACAAAAGTACAAGTAGTATACAAAAGTACAGGAAGTGTACAGAAGTATAGTAAGTATACAGCAGTAGAGGTCGTGTACAGAAGTACAGGAAGTGTACAAAAGTACAGGAAGTGTACAGAGTACAGGAAGTGTACAGAAGTACAAAAGTACAAGTAGTATACAAAAGTACAGGAAGTGTACAGAAGTATAGTAAGTATACAGCAGTAGAGGTCGTGTACAGAAGTACAGGAAGTATACAGAAGTACGGGAAGTGTACAGAAGTACGGGAAGTGTACAAAAGTACAGGAAGTGTACAGAGTACGGGAAGTGTATAGAAGTACAGGAAGTGTACAGATACAGGAAGTGTACAGAAGTACAGGAAGTGTACAGAAGTACAGGAGTACAGGTAGTATACAGAAGTACAGGAAGTATATAGAAATATAGTAAGTATACAGAAGTACAGGAAATGTACAGAAGTACAGGTAGTATAAGAAGTACAGGAAGTATATAGAAGTACAGGAAGTATATAGAAGTACAGGAAGTATATAGAAGTATAGGAAGTACAGAAGTACAGGAAGTATATAGAAGTATAGTAAGTATACAGGAGTACAGAAAGAATACAGGAGTACAGGTAGTATACAGAAGTACAGGAAGTATATAGAAGTATAGGAAGTATACAGAAGTACAGGTAATGTACAGAAGTACAGGAATGTACAAAAGTACAGGTAGTATACAGAAGCACAGAAAGAGTACAGGAGTACAGGTAGTGTACAGAAGTACAGGAAGTATATAGAAGTATAGGAAGTACAGAAGTACAGGAAGTGTATGGAATTATAGTAAGTAAACAGAAGTACAGAAAGTGTACAGAAGTACAGGTAGTATACAGAAGTAAAGGAAGTGTACAGAAGTACAGGAGTACAGGTAGTATACAGAAGTATAGGAAGCATAGAAGTATAGGAAGTACAGAAGTACAGGAAGTGTTCAGAGTACAGTAAGTATATAGAAGTACAGGAAGTACAGAAGTACAAGTAGTGTACAGAAGTTCCAGGAAGTACAGAGAAGTCCAGGAAGTGTATAGAAATACAGGAAGTGTACAGAAGTACAGGAAGTGATGCACTTTGATCAATGGAACCTGGGAAGGTGAGTGGAGTGTGGCCATGAAGCAGGGAGAACATGGATGGCAATTTGTGATGCCACAGCCTGAGAAAGGCCCCATGGCAGGGGAGTATCCTCACCCCCAGATACTGTTCAATGTTGATTCTGTACCCAGCACTGCCTTGGTTGTAAGAGTGGATTTACAAGTGAATGATATGGTGTCAGAATGGACAGAAGGTCTGAATGACTGGAGCTGAGAGGGGAGGGGGTGGCCAGCAGGAATCCTGGCAGAGGGGCCAGAAGACACCCCCCCATGCCTGTCTCATGCCCAGCAGCCACTGAAGAACAGGAGGGCAACAGGGTGAGCCCCACATTCTAAGGGAAAACAGTACACCAAATAGACTGGAGTGGGGAGTGAGGAGAAGAATTTGGAAGCTCTAATGTTGAACTAGACAGATGGCTACAGGAAAAAGAGAAAGGCGAACAGAAAATCAAAACTGGGAGCAGGGTGAAGAGACTGTATCCCTCTCCCACCTCCTTCCCTTTCCTCCACCCTTCCAAATACCTCCTAAAAGGCTGTAACTGGTTTATAAAGTTACTGGGGAAATTCGCCCTTGGCATTTAAATTCATTATGGACCCCAAATCAAATGAAAGGAGGACTTTTCAGGTGCTAGCTGGAAAAGGGCTCAAGGCGAGGCTACTGTAGTAAAGGCAGTGGCCCCAGGATTCCAAACCGGAGAAAAGAAGCCTCCTGAGTTGTCAGCTGGAATCTGTACTGCCATAATTTTTCTTACCAAAGACCCACTGGCAAAAACTACGCTCCTTAACCTGCCCTCTCTACTGTTTCCAACAGACAAGCCCCAGGCCTCTCACAAAGATTGAAGGGGAAAAAAAAGAAACTTGAGTTTTTTTGGTGGCAATGAATTTTACATTTGAAACATCCCAGAAAAGGGCTTTCCTACGTTCAGTTTGGCATATTACCCTATTTTTCATTTCTTCCTAGTAGTCTTTATCAAAGCACAGATAGAAGGGTGGGGCTCATCTTTACCCAAATGTGCTTCAGGTAAGACAGGCTGTGCCTTGCTAATCTCCACCTGGGGGCAGGGGGGATTCTGGCCATCAAGGAAGCCTTGGAGACCCCTCAGGTGAGAGGAGATTACAGTCACATGCTTCCCTAGCCCACCTCTCATCAGCTCCGTTGTGAGACAAAGAGGAGTAGAATAGGTTTTGCCAAGATTAAGGCAAGAACAAAGTCACTTGCCACAGAACCCAAAATATCCATCCTGAGCATAACAGTAAGCCCGGATGGGCTAACCATCTCACAGTCTACATGCTGGACCCTGGAACGGACAGATAAGAAAAGTATGTCCTCACACTTATTCCGTGTTTAGAAATGGTCTCATGAAACAAATGATTTTCCCAAAATGACATAGTGAGTCATGGGTGGAGGCAGGGTCTAACCTAAGACCCTCCGGCTCTGCCCACTTTGCTCCCATCAGGCCTTGACGACATAACCACCCAACTGGCACCCACGTTCCAGAGGCCATTCTTTCGATCTTCATAGACAGAAAATATGTGGGGTTCAAAAGATCCTCATACTGTAATATACCAGAGTCAGGGGTGGAGGCAAGGGAAGGACATATCCTATCCTTCTAAAGAACAGGTTCTTACTCAGTCTAGAGGGCCAGTGAAAGTCCCTCTAACAACGAACTGAAATCAGAAGGACCAACCACGGGTGCAGGAAGATGGCGGAGGAGTAGGAGACCTGGATTTCGTCTGGTCTCAGGAATTCAGCTGAATAGGGATCAAACCATTCTGAACACCTACGAACTCAACAGGAGATCGAAGAAAAGAATAGCAACAACTCTCTGAACAGAAAAGCGACCATTTACTGGGAGGTAGGATGTGCAGAGAAGTGAATCGAGGCGATATTCGGGAGGATAGACGGCGGGGGAGGGGGCCTCCATCAGCCACTTCCGGCAAGTGATAAAGCCGCTGAGCACAAAATCGGAACTTTTGGAAATCTGATCCGCTGAGGGACGTTGCTCCAGTGGCTAAGCCGGGGGGTGGAACCCTCGTGGGACAGTGTGGTCTCAGGACCCTCAGGGTCATAGAAAGACTGGGGGTGCCTGAGTGCGGCAGAGCTCCCAGGTATCAGAGCGGGGAAGCTGGCTGCAGAGATGGAGCCGAGGCGCGGGCTCTCAGCTCGGGGTTGCCATAAACCGTGATCTGCGGCCCAGTCGAGCCACTGCTCCTCCAGCAGGGACCCAACAAGCAGCAGAGCCGGGGAGACTGCCCTTACTCCTCTGGGAGGAGTGGGGCGGGAGCACACTGCAGGGATCTGCTGGGTTTGGAGACTCCACACTGAGTTGGGTGCCAGAGATAGAAACGCTGGGTCACAGACTGGGTGAGCACGGAGTGGGGCCGGAGACCGGGGAGACGGGAGTGACTGACTGCTTTTCTCTGGGGGTACACTGAGGAGCGGGGCCCTGAGTTCTCGGCTCCTCCGGGGCAGAGATTGGAGGCCGCCATTTTCACTCTCGTCCTCCAAAGCCATAGGGAAAGCTTGCAGGGAACAAAAGCTCCCAAGAGCAAACCCCAGCAGATTACTTAGCCCAGACCGGCAAAGGCGGGGCAATTCCGCCTCCGGCAAAGACATTTGGGAACCAGGGCAACAGGCACCTCCCTCAGAAGATCAACACGAACAGCCAGCCAAGACCAAGTTTACCGATCAA